ATCAATAACTTATCATATGACATGCATAAATCAGTATAAATGCAATCAGGGAGAATCATATAAGATAAGCAAAAAATAAACCAATACTTGCTGCCATATCAAATTCTTCTCTCACTTACTACCGAACCAAATTATAAACTCTAGGTTGCATTGGTGCAATCATAATAGCCAGCAAATGAAGGACTAAATTGACAGAAATAGAAAGGCTGGCAAATTTTTTTTGTTATAGTTAGTGGCTTTGTGGTAGAAGCTAGATACCTTATGTTATTTTAAACCAAAATTTTGGCTCCCAGGTTTCTCAATTTTTGTTGTTCTATAGTTTTTGCATGTATAGATAGAAGTCTATGGTAATGTGCTGGAAGGGGGAGAATAATAAAGGTGGAGGTAGAGATTGTATAAGGATTCTTTCTCTTTGAATTTCTGGTTCTCTTTCTTTCTTTCTTTCTTTATGTTATGCAATTGCAAGGAAGTTTGGGAAATATTTGCTCTTGATTTGCTACTGGGAATTCTGTAAACTCTTGCATAGGACTCACTCGGTTCGATTTCATAATAGATTTAGATTTATTGAGGCCCGTTAAGAGCAACATAGTATATTTCATCTAATAACACTACAAAAAAAACTTTTAACTACATTTATATTAAGACATTTTTATTTAAGCGTCTTATATATTATGGCACATAAAGATGCTCTTATCCCTATGTCAATGAGCATCTAAGTAACACCATTGTTTGATGTCCTAATATAATATGTGCCCTAACATATGCATATTAAGACACTTCAAGGTGTCATAATAGTCATTATCTTTTATATTGCGTAGTCGCCACACGCCAATGAGGGCTTGCGAAACCAAAAAGATACCGAGACTATCGAAATGATGGAGATAGATGAGGCTATAAATTATGATCATCATTTGACGGGCTTCGAATTCACATGGCGGAGGGGTCGAATTATCTCAAGCTCTAATAAATGGAGTGAAGTTTAGCTCCAATATCATACTTCAAAAAAAAAAAGATCTCAAGGAAGATATAAGCTTAATATTCAAAAAGCATGGTGCACAATGGACCCCTCAGATCCTTAACGCAAAAATAGTTCACATCAAAAAGGACAACTAAAGCCTAAAAAGCTAAATCAACATTTAGGTCATAACCCTTTACAAAACTAGAAATAATAAAATGATAAGTGAAGGAAGGATGACAAAAAGCTTGCAGAAATCTTGATGGCTCTGATGCTAAGCTGCTAACATTTAGTAGAGCTTTACAAATACCAAATTGGCGTTTACTGTTGATGCCAAAACGGATCTCTTATTTATGCCAAGCAGCTCTTCATTGACTTGAAGTTGACTTTAATTTCACGAAAGATTAAACCTATTTTGTGGTTGCAATTAGGTAAACCAAATTATGAAAATTTAGGCTTCATTTGGGGCGGCTTTATTATTGTTTTTTAAAATAACTTTTTAATAAAAAAATAGTTTATATACTAAAAATCTGCTTTAAAAAGTAATAAAAGAGTCATTCTAAATGAAGCCTTAATCAGTTTTTCCTCTTGTACTAAATATTTTACTAAGTACTTCTATGATAGATCAATGAGGTGCTTTGAACATTAAATAAAAAAGATTATTGTCAGTCGCTCTGTTCATCATTGATTGCTGGCTAGCGATGATGTACCATTAGCAACCACCATTGTCATCGCATAAATCAACTCAAACATTAAATAAAAAAGATTATTGTCAGTCGCTCTGTTCATCATTGATTGCTGGCTAGCGATGATGTACCATTAGCAACCACTATTGTTATCGCATAAATCAACTCATTCGATATTCCATAAAGATACAAATTATATATATTAGAAAATTAATATATTTTATTTCATGTCAAATATAAGTAAAATAAAATAATATAAAAAATGATCCCAAATCGCCGTTAAATTATCATAAAAGTGCACAACTCTTCTAAATCTTCTTTTTTTTTTTTAATGTTAAGAAGTTTAATAATAAAACAATAAAAAATTCTTACCAAGTTATTAATTAGCATTCTCTCTTCATCTCATGATTATTAATTTTATCACAATTATTTAGATCTATTTTTTTAGTGATATATGAGACATTAAATTTATTTTATACAATTTTTTTATTATGATGTCATTGATTTATCCATTTTACCTGAAAATATATTTATACTATATAGTTTTCTTTTTAATGAATCTTCTACTCTCTATTTTATTATCTTATTCTAAAGAGGTGTTATTGAGTTAGTTCCATCCTCTTCTTAATATAAACATTTTTTTTTTCAATTTATTGTTCTTAGTTATAGGCCCACTTTTGCAATACTATATTTATTGGGTTTTGTTATGCTTTCTTATTTTATACTTTATTGTCTTGATCTATATTTTACTATCTACTAAAGCATATGATTGTTTAGTTGTTATTTAAAAATATTATATAAATAGAATCAATCATAAAATTATTTCTTAATCATTTAATTAAATTAGCATATGATTGTTTAGTTGTTATTTAAAAATATTATATAAATGGAATCAATCATAAAATTATTTCTTATTTATTGAATTAAATTAAATTTAGAGTACTAATTATTTAGTTTTGGCATGATTAATTTAATAATAGTAGGTTATTTCTTAATTAAACAAGAAATATTCATATATAGCTTTTAATAATAATAATAATAATAATAATAATAATAATAATAATAATAGAATGATTTGTTAAATAATAGTAGGTAATAACTTAATGATACAAGAAAATTATATAATAGTAGGTGTATTAATTTATATTTAATTATAGAAAGGTGCTTTTGACAAAAGTGAAATGCAAGAAAATATGCTTATTTAGCTTTTGGTACTCCTTTATTTTGTATTCATAAACTTAAAACTTCTTTCACACAATAGCTCATATATCATTCAACAAAGACCTTTATGCTAAAAAATGATTTTGTAATATATATACAAAAGCATAGTGGCCAAGTAATAGAAAGCATTATGAAATGGGGTCCACATCTATCATAACATTCATATTTTTGTCATAATACAAATTTAGATAAATTTTTTATTTATTTATTTTTTATATTTCACTTATAGAATAAATGAGCTTGAAGCATTTTTTTTACTAATAATCAAATATTAACTCTAAAAAATTTATTCTCAAATTTATAACATGATAGAATATCATTGTTTTTTCAATAATATTTATAATATTTATTGCTTATCAATTTATCATCCACTAAAGTTTCGTTTGGGTGACTTTCTTATTACTTTACAAAATAGTTTTTTAGTATAATTTTTTTTTTAAAAATATGGAAAAAACAATGGCCAAAAGTTGTCCCAAACGAAGTCTAAGACTTAATATGATCCATATTTATTAATTCTAAATTACTTATTCTCTAAAAAATTTCTTCCAATATTTTTACTTCTTATTTACATCAAGATGTCACATCTATGTAATTGCTATATTAAAGCTTTGCCCTAAAAAAAAAATCCACTCATAGAAATAATTTGAGGTGCACTTCCTAAAGCAAAATCGAATGGCCTTATCTCCCATATTTATTAGGCCACTTAAGCTTTGTTTGGGACGACTTTTTTTTTTGCTTTCTAACGCAGATTTCTATTAAAAAATTTTCGATGAATTTTTGTAATAGAGAGCTGCTTTAGAAAACAGTAAGAAAGAAGCCTTAAATAATTAACCCTAATTCAATTTATTTATATAAATTTCTTTAGTGATTATATTATTACTTACTCACGAATAATACAAATAGATATAAGGAATTTTTTTTTAAGTCTTTAAGATCCACTTAAATAAAAATAGATTTACCACTTTTTATCATCTAAAAATATTTTTGAGGAGAATCCAATATAATAATTATTAAAATATATTATTCTATTTTAATATTTAATTTAATTAAAATATTTAGATCTGTTTATCTTAATTATCTTAGTAATTTCTCATTGAACATAACCTAATATATTATATAATTCATCAAGAGATATGGATTTGATAAAACTAATTACTATTTTCTTAGGAAACAAATTATTCTTTTTATATTATTACAGACTAAATTTTATTTATTTTCCTCCCTTAAATAATAATTTTTTTTCTTAGTATATTATTATACACCCTCATTTTACTAAAAAATTTCATTAATAATTCACAACTATTTTCTTAGAAATTTAGGGACTACTTAGTTTACTGAAAAATAAATGTGTTGTATTTAAAATATTTGAAATATTTATATTTATGCAAAAGGAATACAGGATATTATTATTATTTATTTAACTTGAAGTAAAAATGAATGTAAGGTAAAATAAAATGATAATGATATCCAACAGCGGTGGTCGGTGGTGGCGGTTTTCGGTGGATGGCGGTTGGTCGGTGGTTAGACAACCGGCGACCGTGGCTGATGATTTAATTCACTTTTACTAGAATGGTATTCAGGCCAATTTTGAGCTTGAGTACCAACCTAAATTCGACCTAAAATTTATAAGCTCAACAATTTAAGCTCGAATCTGATTCTTCATGTCAAATTTTCGTAACAAATCATTTATTTGATAATAGGTCATCAATTCCATCATCTACTAGCATGAGTTTGAACTAAAAGATCAATAAATTATTAAAAAAAAAAAGATCCAATCCCAAAATTTAAAATAGTCCAACGGTTGGAATTGATGAACAAGAATTCTACGGAAGAGACTCTGTAAATAAATATTGAAATGAGATATTACATAATACGAATGAAAGATGAGATTTTTAATTTTCCTAAAAAAAAAAAGATGTGATTTTACAAAGTCAAAAATGGCAGATAAAAATTATTGCTGCCCATTAGTTGAAACCAACCGGAAACAATTAAAAAAGAAAGACGTTGGATGAGTATGTAAGATTGTGATCGAGAGGTGAGAGGAGGAGCAGAAATTACTGCAACTTTCCAATTTGCAGCCATAAATTTTTGGTCGGATTTGAATAAAATAGTTTGATTATTTAGATGTGGATCTTTCCATTTATTTTATTTTATTTTATTTTAATTTTCTCCCACTCCATTTGCACTTGTGCGACTTCAACCTGTCACTATCGCTCGCCCTAAAAAGAAGAACAGTATGGAAATAAAGACGATAGGCGGTGAAAGGATGACCTATGCCTGCGTTTATTCTCAGAAGAGATCGATAAGTAGAGATCAACGCGATCGGATTCGTCGTCTTTGACATCGTATCTGCTCTTCAGCTGAAGCTAGGCCGAAACTTCAATCAAAGGTGGGTTTTTTTTTTTGGTTTCTACTTCGTTACAGTTTCAGTAGTTGGATTCTCTTGTTCTTTTGTTTTTTCAAGTTAGAATATTTGGAAATCTGTTTTTTTTTTTCTTGAGTTTGGACTGGAATTGAAAGAGTTTTTTTTCAGTGTTTTCTGGATTGCTGGTGATGCCGATGTAGAGGAAAGGGAGAGGGGGTTTTCAGCCAAAAGATTTGTTGGGGGTTTCGCGTTGAGACAAACGAGATAGAAAAAAAGGGAATTTTATAGATCGATCGTTCCCTCTTTGTTTCTTTTTGGTTATTGCAAAGGTTGCACTTTGGCTTGTTTGAGTGTTAACGGGGCTGAAGGGCTCCGGTCAGTGGATGTATTTTCATTGGTGAGATATCTGGTTGAGGATTTTGAGCGGATCCCAAAAGATACTGTGGAGATTTGGGCGTTTTCGTCGATCCTATGTGCCATGAGAAATCTCTTTCATGCTGACACCTTCAAGGAAAATCAGGTTCATACGTTTAATCCTCAGTCATGGCTTCAGGTGGAGAGGGGAAAGGTTTCCAAGTTCTCTTCTCACTCTCCTGCTTCCATGTATGTATTACATGCCTTTGAAGTTCATTTATTTTTTTCTTTTTCAAAATTTTTATGATGCTTGAACTTTTGTTTTGTTTCATTTTCATGAAGAGAATCTCTTATCAAGGTTGCTGAACCTCCTGTTCTCCCTTTCTTCAAACCGGTTGACTATGTGGAGGTCTTGGCTCAGATCCATGAAGAGCTAGAATCCTGCTTGCCTCATGAGAAAGCAGAGGTATACTTGCTACAATTTCAGGTATTTAGGGGTCTTGGAGAGGTTAAATTGCTCCAGAGGAGCTTGCGTTCTGCTTGGGAGACAGCAAGCACAGTTTATGAGAAGCTTATTTTTGGAGCTTGGCTTAAGTATGAGAAAAAAGGAGAAGAGCCTATCTCTGATCTCCTTGCTTCATGTGGGAAATGTTCTCAGGAATTCAGGATCCTGGGTGTTGCCCCTGAAATCCCTCTTCAGGATTCTGAGGTAATGAGTGCTTGTAATTTAGGTAAAATAGAGCCAACCAACGTCGTATACTTCCGAGTAAGAGAAGAATATATAGCATGTGATCGGCAGAAGATTGCCGATTTGTCGCCGCCATTCAACACCATGCTTAACGGGTGTTTCACCGAGTCAATTCAAGAAGTAATAGATATGTCTGAGAATAACATCTCGCCCATAGGTATGAGAGCAATCTGCAACTTTAGCCTGTTGGGAAGTTTAAATGAATTGTTATCCTTGGATATTTTGTTGGAAATATTGATATTTGCAAATAAATTCTGTTGTGAGAAGCTGAAAGTGGCCTGTGATAGAAAGTTGGCATCTTTGGTTTCTTCAAGGCAAGATGCTGTGGATCTTATGGAGTGTGCACTGGAGGAAAATTCTCCTGTTCTTGCTGCTTCTTGTCTACAGTTTTTCCTCCGGGATCTTCCTGATTGTATAAATGATGAGCAAGTTGTTAGAATCTTTTCCACTGCTAATAAGCAGCAAAGATTCATCATGGCTGGACATGCTTCCTTCTCACTCTACTGTTTGCTAAGTGAGGTTTCAATGAATGCTAATCCAAAGTCAGAGGTCACAGCTTCCTTTTTGGAGAAGTTGGTTGTGTCTGCTGTGAATTCCAGGCAGAAACAGATAGCGTTTCATCAGCTTGCCTGTGTGAGGCTTTTGCGAAAGGAATACGATGAAGCAGAACGTCTTTTCGGTGCTGCTGTTGCTGCTGGGCATGTCTATTCTGTTGCTGGTTTGGCTAGGGTTGCTTGCTTTAAGGGCGATAAGCGTTCATCTTATGAAAAGCTTAGCTCTGTGATTTCTTCGTATAATCCTCTCGGCTGGATGTACATGGAGAGATCTTTGTATGCTGATGGGGACAGAAAGTGGGAAGACCTTGATAAGGCTACTGAGTTAGATCCCACTCTTCTTTATCCTTACATGTTTCGAGCATCATTCTTGATGAGAAAGCAAAGTGCTGAGGCGGCTCTCATGGAAATTAACCGTGTTTTGGGGTTCAAATTAGCTTTAGAGTGTTTGGAACTGCGGTTTTGCTTTTATTTGGCTCTTGAAGATTATAGAGCTGCGCTACGTGATGTACAAGCAATCCTTACTTTGTCTCCAGATTATCGAATGTTTGAAGGACGTGTGGCGTCTTCTCAGATGCGAACACTTGTTCAGGAACATGTTGAGCAGTGGACGACCGCTGATTGCTGGCTTCAACTTTACGAGCGGTGGTCAGCAGTGGATGATATTGGATCTCTTTCTGTTATCTATCAAATGCTTGAGGCAACAGATGCTGCAAAAGGAGTTTTATACTTTAGGCAGTCTCTGCTTCTTCTCAGGTATATGCTACCTTTGTTTATAATGATAAATATAACTTCATTGTTTGGGATCATTTCATCCTTCAATACCAAGTACTTTAGTTGCTCCAATGGTAGAGTTCAACTTGGTATTCTCTCCTGACATATATGTATATTAGAAAAAACTCTCCATTCAATGAGGTATCTTCCATTCAATATGTCCCATCATTCTCTTATTGAAGACATGACTAGATTTATGTGAGCTTAGGAACCATGTATTATGTATATCAGTAATTATCGAAGCGATGGTGTGCACTAACTAATGTGGCAAGAACTTGTGAATTTGGTTGATAGATTGAATTGTCCAGAAGCAGCCATGCGAAGCTTGCAGCTTGCACGTCAGCATGCGGCCAGCGAACACGATCGTCTAGTTTATGAAGGATGGATTTTATATGATACTGGTCATTGTGAGGAAGGGCTTCGCAAAGCCGAGGAGTCTATCTCGATCCAAAGGTCTTTTGAGGCCTTCTTTTTGAAAGCATATGCCCTGGCAGATTCAAGCCCTGATCCTTCATGTTCTGCAACTGTTATCTCACTTCTTGAAGATGCATTGAGGTGTCCTTCAGATAGGCTTCGAAAGGGCCAGGTACTCCCAGCTTTCTTTGACAAAAGTGTGCTTTATTATTATTTATGGCACTTTTGATAAATTGTTTAATTTGAGTATACCATGAAACTGTTTGTTCTCTTGTATAGCTTTTCTTGTTTATTGAATCTATTTTATTTTCCTTGCTCTATTTTTTGTTTGAAGGTTTCAACTTTAGCTTGAGAAATTCCTAGTTACATGTTATGTGAATGAGTCTTATAAATTTCTTTATTTTTAAATGAAGCTGCAAACTTTGAAAATTTTTATATTTAGCTCAGGTCTGATCCTAAATATGAAGTGTCAAGTCATTGTAGCTTCATTAATAATGTAAAACTATATTAAATCCTCTAAATTCTTTCTTGCTTTTTATTTGTCCAGTATATCAATGTTTGATGTCTTTATTGATCTTCAATTCTTTTATTTATTTTGTTTAATATTGTTTATAAGTACATTTCGAGTTGATCTGGTTTTTGTTTGTACACAATATTCCATTTAGTTATATAACGTTACCGATGTCTTGAAATTGAAATTTCTAATTTGCATGCAATTAGCTGCTTTAGGAATGCAGAGAATTATTTTTGCTATAACGGTACTACTGCTTGAGCTTCTTCTCCTGGCATGGTTAGTTGTAGAAAGTCAAAAAAATTACGCATTACAAGAAACTAGAAAGTTCCCAATATTTAATAGAAACTAGCAACATCCATAGCCTCAAAAAAATTGTTTTTTTTTTTTAATTTTTACTGAGCCCACTTGGTTGCAAAAGTAGATTGCTCAGATTTTTATGTTACCTCAGCGGCTCTTCCATTATGTGGTCTAATGGTTCATTAAGAGTTATTCATTGACATGAGAAGAAGCCATTAGGGGATATTATACAAAACTAAGAGGTTGATTTATCTTCTACTGAAAGTAAAAATGGGGAAAAATGTCAAACCATGTTGTGGTTCACCTTTTCTTCCGTGGTCAAGCTTACAAGAGGTGATCAATGATGTGCTGAAGGTGGGAACAATTTGTGTGCTTATCAAGGCTTTGTGAATTAACTTCATGGATGAAGTTCATATCCTTAGAACAAAATATGTATGTTTCTATAGGGTAAGATTTGATAATTGTTGACTTGTAACTGACGTCCAACCGCCTTCACGCACCAGCTGGCTGAACTCGCATAACCGACGACTTCAACCACCCATTACCCACAATCTACTCAAAAGACGCTCATAACTTTCACACACTCTCATAACTCCCACTCACGGCACAAAAACCCCCTCAGTTATTCTCTTCCTCTCACGCACACTTACATTGAGGCGATAGGAAGTTTTTGGCTCTAATCTTTGTCTTCTCCGAGCAATCAAACTGACCTCGTCCTCGACCTCCACCCTCTACTCATCCTATCAACCTCCAATCCTCCTACTTGTACCCGAACGTCGTAGCCGACGTGCCCTAGACGACTGAACCTCAGTCGCCGAGCCCGACCAGTGCTTGCCATCGTGCCCTAGCCATCATTTCTTTGATCTCTTGCTCTCTTCCGCAAAGAATCGAAACTCCTCAACTTGTCGTCGGATTGGCTCCCGCCTTTGCCTACTCTGCCTAACCAGTCACCGGCTTGGTGCCTCCATCATGCTCAATCCGCCGTCGAGTTCACCTGCGCCCTAGCCCGACGCCTGGCCTTGTCCGAGTCCCTCTCTTTGTTATCTTTTACATATTTATTATATTATGTTATATATATATATATATATATATATAAAACTTAATGTAATAATAATAATAAAAGAAAGGCAAGCAATGTTCACTACAGCAGGAGAAATTTGAAGGAAGTCCCGGAGTTGATATGGTCCCCCGAAGCCCTTGTTCAATGATCTGATCCGACCGAGTGGATTGAAGACTTAAAGACTGTTTCCGAGGTCGATTCGCTCCCCCAAACTCCTCGTTGTTGATTTGATCCGGTTGATTCGCTCCCCAAACTCTTCTCTGTTGATTTCATGCGGTCGAGTTAAGCCAAAAGGGCAAGTATCCTTCCCAACCTCCCTTTGGGGGAGGAGACGTTGGGAGGCTATCGAAATCAAAACTAACAAGGACCCCTCACAAGTAATTTCAAATGAAATAATTCAAATTAATGAAAAAATACCTTATGTGTTAAAAAGTCTCTGGATAAGGTGTTTCGAAATTATATTATTAAAGGGGCAATTTCCTAATGAAAGCATGATTGACAACTTGGGGAAAAATATGTCACCTTTCACACTTAAGCGTTTTGTATAAAAGCACCTTAGGATGCCCTACTTAGCTACTATCTACCTCTTTATATTGAATGAAGTCATCCTACTAGAAGAGAAGTATTAAATCGACAAGGACTTTCAAATTAAAAAAAATGCTGGCAGTTCATCTCATGTAGTTGTGAAATCTATATTTTCAACAAGGTTATTTGATAATAATGGTGATCCATTGGTAGAAAAATATTCTATAAAGGAACATTGACTTACCTAAATATGTAGTGATAGTTTAAAAAGAAAATTATCACCGGATATCCTTTATAATGAATACATCATAGATGAAGGCAAAAATTTTCTAGAAAGTCCATGGAGTGAGATTTGATGCTAGCAAGTAGCAACTTTCTCTATATATTATTTGTAATGCGAACTTTGGTTGTGGGATTTGTAACTAAAGATGCTAAATGAGTCAGCATCTATAAAATAAATATTCATTTGATGGATGATTTTCACTATGTTTTGAGTTACCAAGACATGTTGCTTGTGAAAGGTCAAGATCAATTAATAGATGATTATATTATATTGAACCAACTTCCTATAAATGTGAACTAACTTCCAAGGCAATTGGTCGCATTATTGAAAAGTGATAGCTATCATGTTATTGTTGATGTTATCGGACATTAATGATGCATCAAATCAAGCTCCATTACTTATTTGTACGCTTGTTAGTGAATACGTCAAATAAGAGCTTATAGAAAAGACACTAACTAGAGTCATTCTGAATGATTCTTAACAATGTAACTAAAACATATGGGCAAAATTGAAATATAGATATAATGAAAGAAATTTGCTTGCTCATTAAGAGAGATAAATATAAGTTTTATTCACCACAATGATAAGATCATATGATAGCATGATTATGAATATAGAGGCTCAAGATTTGAAGGATAAGATGCTTAAAGTGAAAAGTAAAATCTAATACACTTAAAAGCCACCGAATCCACAACATTTATACAAGCGGACAGAAGGCTATATTTCTATAATAACTTCAATCTATATATTAAAACATACCATAAATGTGCTTCGATAAATGTGTTAAAGTTACAAACATAAATATCCGAGAATGCTGCATGGGGTCAAATGTTCATTAATATAAAATTTTATTTCTAAACTAAACACAACATGCATGTGCTCCAACTATCTTATTCGATTCTTAAATCCAACTTTCTGAGAATGCTTCGCGGGTCAAATATTTCTAAACTAAACACAACATGCATGTGCTCCTACAAACATTCAGTGACTTTAATGTCACCCCTATGATGACCTTGTTGACAGGAAATATCAACCGGAGATGTCAAATTTCAAATATAACAAAAGTCTGAAATCTTAAAGTAAAAAATATCACTTAAAACCTAAAACTAAATTCTGTCCACCTCCTGCAATCATTTGTTGGGGGTGAAAATTTTGAAATTTATCTCAGCTCACAAAGAGCGAATGTTGTGTCAGGTGTATCACTAAGATTCATCATCAAATAATTTCTTGCCAGCAGGGATGTGGCACATGCCCTCTTATCAGGTGGTTTTGCCGCAAAATGACATCATTATATTTCAATCACGACCAAAGCCCGTATGTTCCCTAATGACTTCAAACTCTTGAGTAATGAATCATAGGGTATATTCGATAGGCATAATGCCCTCTGTCAGCTAAGGTAGATTCATATATATCCCCTTAGACAAATACTAATCCAAGTCTACAATGTATTCTTGGATGAAGCAACCCATGACTGCTGATAAGGTATCTTTGTCAGGTTGGGTCGACTATCTCCTATGACTAAGTAGACCAGGGAACATGACAGCCCGAGATGACAGAACCATGAGATCTTGATCGGGCTCTTCTTCCCTCCCCCAATCATCAGTTTTAAATTTACTGTGATTAACTTTAAGTTTGAAACTACAAAATTCATATCCCGAATTCAAACACTAAAATTGTTGCTATTATACATTGGATTTGCAATCTATGCGACCTCTTTAACAACTAGCCTTAATCGAAAGTACTCTCTTGTTACCGGGAGGTGTAATTAACTATAGGGGTCTGCGCCTATAGGAAACAAGAACTTATATCATAAATT